ATAACATCTATCTGCATGCCAAATTTCAAAAAAAAAAAAAAAAAACTGACAAAGTCCCATACAAACTTTCATCCCCTATCTTACCCCCTTGGGGGTGGAAATTATCAAAATCCTTTCTTAGCGGATGCCTACGTCATAACATCTATCTGTATGCCAAATTTTAGCCCAATCTGTCCAGCGGTTTGGATTGTGCGTTGATAGATCACTATGTCAGTCAGTCAATCACCTTTGAATTATACATATATATATAGAAGATTACAACACCTTACAATATGACATCTTACAGTTTATTCCAATGCAATATCACATTTCCTGAGACTTTTAAGTCTAACACGTAATATATTAATAAAAATTTCACCTTAATTATTAGACTTATAAGCGTTACATACTCTCAGTATGACATACATATTATAACCATATAGACCCAATTACTCAATAATGTGAGTAATAAGAAGGACCGCCAAAGGGAGGGAAGATCTGACCATAACTAATGATGGTGCATTCCTAAACCCAATAAAATCGGCCGCCCTGCTGGCGGATACGTTCTATCCAAAGGACGCGGCGAAAGAGGACAACGCAGACCACAGGCATACGAGGGAAGACATGAACGCAGACACACAAAAATGGGAGCTCGTGCTGCGGTTTATTACTCACCAGTTTGGTTTTATGCAAAACTAGAAATAGGAAAGTGGGAACGCCCCCGTGGGAACCCCCCCCCCCCCTAAAAAGTGAAAGATGATGGACATAAGCAGGTTACAGTATGAGGCATAAACGTGCGAGAGGCATATAAGCGAGAACCGGCATGGAAGTGAAAATAGATTTAAATAGGCGCCAATAATGTTGGCTATCCAAACCGAACTGAAATATCTTGGAAACATAACGACCGATTTCGGAGCAATGTTCTGCTTTTACCACCTCCTCCAGGCTCTTAACTCGTCGAGTACCGTCATTATAGACACAATTAAAGAACAATAGGTTGCGGTCACCGGTGTCCTCGCGGTGCTTGACAGTTTAATAACCATTTCGGTAGTTTTTGTAGTCGACAGTTCAACCCCTTGATCAATTTCCACCTCTAAAGTTACTTTGAACAAAAAGTTTTATTCAAATAAAATCTACTCTTCATATTTTGACCTAGGGCGACAAAATTCGCAGCACATCAACAGTGACTCATAATCCACGATTCGGATAGGTTTTTGCCTCACAAACTCCTGTTTTGCTAGAAATCCTCGTAATTGACTAAAATTTGGTGACAATTCAAAATTATTTCAGAAAACCGACGTGTCACAGAAAAATTTGAAAGTCCAATTTTAGGCTTATAAGTTATCATTTATGTACAGGGTAGGTATTATATTTTACTACTTATTCTATCATTTTTGTTTACTGACAACCCCTCTGTAGAGGTACAGGGAACAATTTTAAATTTTGGCCACTCGATCCCCTTTTACAGGGATACAGCACCTATTTATTTTAGAGCCGGGTACTAGTCCCGATCCCGAGTCGCCGGCCCTTCCCGCTGCGGTCCGGAGGCTGTTTTCGGACACCGAAAAGCAGCCAAAGAAACAGCGCAGTGCGGGTCCGGCGAATTGTGTCCAGCGCGGCCCGGCCACCGACAAGCTGTGAGAGCGTGGGTTTCCTGGGCTCGTACCCTCTCCGAAGTCCCCTCAGTCAGTGGCCGGGGCCACGCGATGTCCCACGGTACTACTTACTTAAAAAGAGACAAACAATAATGTCGTAAATACTTACATTAATGATTTTTAATTGATAATAACATTTTTAATAATCCTTGAAACAATCAACAAAAAACAAAGAAACAATGATCAGAGTGTAGCAAAGAACAAAACAATCAATGAAAGTGTAGGACGCACACGTACCTATTGTACGGTTTCATAACCACACATAGCACGTATAGTATCCTTAGTCGACGCAGCAATATTGAATGCGCGTCAGACAAAACATAGCATATATATATAATTTAACGTATTATAGTAATCTTAGTAGTAGTACTAATAGTACTTCATCTACCGAACAACGTCAAACAAAGGAATACGACAACTTTATTTATACGCAACTAGCAACTATAACTTGTGACCTTTACTGCGAGCTAGGTACTACACCTGCAACAACCACAAAAGTACAGTGTAAGGATCTAACTGGACCTTACACCTATCTTCTAAAAAGTTCATGTATCATGAACTTTTGATGAACATGTAGAGTCATACATAACACGTACTTATTGCTTTACTTATTACTTTTTATTGCAATCCTGACAATGAATAGATAGGTTCTAATAATATTTTAAACTTCGTAATTTAAGTTCTGAATAATGAAAACACATAGCTAGCTACTTAAGTAAGTACTTAGGTAGGATTCAAGCCGTCAAGCGCTCAGCTGTTTTAGGGCATGATTTTAGGTAAAAACGCATTGTAGGTAAGTTCAGTTCAAAGTTTTATTCGTGTATTAAGTCGGTTGAATTAAATTGTTCTTTGCTAATCATCAATTCATATTCCGCGTAGATACCTACAGTAGTTATCAGCTGATGGGCTGATCAGCTGATTCGTAATTCGTAATACTAAATGCATATCCTGCTGAATAGATGCAAACAATTAAAAACTTTAGTGTCCTTAGAGACGGAATGTACAAGTAAATAAATTACACATCTACCTGTGTCACTCGGAGATTTCGTTCGAAGTTTTCATCTTCGTAATCTTCCTAGGCACAGCAACACAGTTATGCACTACGTCATTGTTTGGACTATGCTACACCACGGCACTTGTTTTTAATATGTTTCAAGCACTGATCACTTGCAGTCTCTGAGCAAACAGCCAGCATGCATGACTGTCATGTCATGTCATGGCTGTGTTGGAAGTTTAGGTACGATGCGAATAGCTCGCTATAGGTTGTTTTCGCCGCGAAGAACTTAACGGGTTACCGGGGCTCCGGCTCGAAGTGCAGGATAAGGAACGGGGTGGTCTCACACTCCCTCCCGCCTCAGCCAGGCGAGCGAAGTCATTCGAAGATTTTCCCGCCAAAAAAAAAATAGGTTGTTATCACTGCAACTGGTGGCATAAAGATAACCATCTCGACTAATTTTCTGTTATCATTAACACATAAACACTGAACTACGAACTTTGATAATAATTAGTGACACGAAGTTCAAGGCCATGCGAAATAATTTCGGTAACAACCGCGGGCGGCAGTGGCAAAGCACAAACTGAATGCGTGTGCGCGTGCGCCGTAGGGGTGAGAGTGTAGGGGGTGGAGCCGTCGGTGGGTTCGCGTTTGTTACTGGAATTTTAGGGAATTAGGAATAATATCAATTACGTGTTTAAGTCCGTGTCAATTGTGTGTTGAGCCGCGTTATAAAGCTAGTTACAAGACTGCGGCGTGTTGTTCGCAGTTACAGAAAAACTAAAAATATTTACCTACAATTTTTCTTATTGATTCGGACTCTGAATCTATGGCCGAATTACTTCGTTGAAAATCTTTTTTCCAAAACTACACATTGTGTATAATATCGTATATCTATGATTGTAAACATCATCTATCTTATACCACCTCCCTGTACGTGGGGGTGGTGTGGGTACGTGAGGATTTCCCCCACTGCTATATAAAAAGAGTTCTTGAAGAATTTCACGTACACCTTTATATGCTGCTTCCCCGCGGTGGATAGTAGCCGGTCAACCCTCGAACCCTACTCTAGCACCTGGACCTGGCGTTCGACGCGCGGCACTCGTCTTCTGCAGCGGCCAGCGAGCCAGTGACGTCAGGGGAGAGCTAAACCAGAGAGGAGTTAATCGCTGTATAGGCTCTAAACCAAATCTTTCTGCCGACCTTCGTCTACCGAGCTAGTTAACTACATTTATAATAAATGTTCCAGTCTTACTGCCTACATACATTTATCTAGAAATACCTCTGCCTAGGTTAGGTAGGATATAAGTAGCGTGACCGTGACCGTAGCACCGGGACATCGCGCTCAGTGGCGTGTACTTGTACGTCGTAGCGCGACGTGGACCGAGCGTCCGCAGCGACTAGGAGCGACCTCGACCACTTTATATGTGTACCATATTAGAGGAGAAGAAATAACAACAAGTCGCTCGCTGTAACACATTTATTGAACAATATTTACATACAACTGTACACACACATACAGACAGACATATACAGATAGTACTCGAGTGTACGGCGGCAGTGCAGTGGGTGCGTGGCTCGTCTAGCTGGGTGTGTGAGGCCGGTAGTTGTCGGTGTTGATGTCGTTGAGTCCGAGCTCCTCGTTCTGCTCGAAGCTGCGCTCGTAGCGCGTGATCTTCAGACCTGACACACACAATACACATACATTACTCACCACGGCTACTCTCCACGTGGGTGTCTGACACCCGCGTAAGCTGCTATTGAGACTGGCCCGCAGTTCTTTGATAAACCTGAATATTTTTAACTGCAATATCTTACGAAATAAGTAAACTTTATTTGTAACCTATATATTACCAACATTATGGATAAGAATCAATTATTGAGTAGAGTATTCAGTTTGGACAATTTGTCAAATGTGAATCTTAAACCATTTTGGATTTAGATAAGTTATTTATTTCGGCCACAACCCGCCTGCCTGCGGAGATTGTGACAAACCCTCTTATGTAGAGGAGACTCATAGTGCAGCAGTGAAGCTGTGCGTGTCTCACCGTCGTCGGGCACGTTGGGGTCGTCGGCCAGACTCTGCACGTAGGAGTTCCCGGCGGGGTCGTCGAGCACCAGCGTGACGGGCAGGAGGCCGCGGCCGGCGCGGCCCAGCGCGGCCAGCACGGGGCGCAGCGCGGGCGCCACGCCGGGCGCGTCGCCCGCGCGCCGGGCGTGTCGGCCAGCTGGGCGCGCGTGGCCGCCAGCAGGCCCTCGGCCGTGGTGAAGCGGCCGCCCAGCGCGCGCCCGCCCACACTCAGCTCCAGCTCCGGGATCTCCATGCTGCACGTCTCCGACTGCGATACACGGACAACTCTACTTGTTAACCACCTTTTTTAAGAAGAGAAAGTCATTCAGTAAGAAGCTCCCCCCGCCCTGATTGAGGCGAGGGGGAATTCTTACTCCTGCTTCGAGACAGACTCCCGGTAACCCCTTAAATCCTCCGCGGCTAGAGACTAAAACCGAGACTAACTGCTCGAAAACTATCGATTTCTAACGAAATCTATCGAGCATCCTCAGAAAGTTTTAAGCGGTTCCTCGATTACTTTCGTGATGGCTCGAAATCTATCGAGCAACTAATACCCCAGAGACGTTAAACAACAAAAAAGATAAGCGGATGAATTGTGACTCACATCGGGCCCTTACTGGAGCAGGACTGGAGATCCTTATCCCCAGAGAGGAATATCAATATAAAACTCTAGAGGAAGTAATGGCTTCCTCTATAATATATAGCTAAGGTCAGCGTGTCTCTTGATAGTGAACAAGATAACCACTAAAGATTAAACTACAACTTACAGACTGGTGGACAGGTTCAAATACTTCAGTGACTAGCTGTAATGTAAATATAGAGTTCGTACCTTGAGTATATCGCGCGAGAAGTCCTCCTTGGTCGCGACCCGGACCTCGAACCGCACTCCCTTCTCCTCGATACCACCGCCTGACTTCACCTACACATACAACACTTGTGAGTGAGAGTGAGTAGTGCGTGAGTGAATGAGTAAGTGAAAAATGCATGAGTGAGTGTGTCTGAGAAAGTGAGTACAAATAAGAGTTTAGTTAAGTTAGTGAATAGATAGTGAGTAACTACAGAGGGCTTGTGAAAAAATTGAAATTTTACAGGTCCATTTTTAATAATAATTCGACTTCAACCCCTCTTTTCTTGAAGTTGGTTAATTAACACGTTAAACGCCATGGCAGTCACCGGTGACCGACATTAGCGGAGGATTTGCCTTCAACAGTTTTTTATTGGCAGCCAATGCCTTAACATACTAAAATCTTCTCCCAAGTTTAACAAACGCGTTTCTGCAAACCGCATAGAAAGCGGTTCAGCCAATCCTGAGATGATCGCGCACAAACATACATACAGGTCAAACTGAGAACCTCCTAATTAATCAATTGAGTTGTATCGCTGATGAAGTCAGTTAAGAATATTAGTCAATAGTGAGTGGGTGAGTGAGTGAGAGTAAGAAAATGAATGAGTGAGTGTATTACCTCGTTGGTCCGGTGTCCGCAGTAGTCACACGTGGTGCTCATGATGACCACTTCCTTGAAGTGAGGGATGTCTGGAACGGACATCGTTACTGTTATACACATCACATCAACAGCCTACAAGTGTCCACGGCTGACCAAAAGCCTCTTCTCACACGGAGAAGGTTTGAGCATTAACCACCACACTAGCTCAATGTGGGTTGGCGATTTCAGAATAAGAAATTATAAGCCCATGTTTCCTCACGATGTTTTCCTGTGTGTTAGTTGTGTCTAGATACTCTTAGAAAGTACATATAACTCGGGAAATGTCACATTGGTACTTGCCAGGTATTGAATCTGTCGGCTAACAAAGACTGTTTGCATCAACGAACTACTGGATCGATTTCAAAAATTCGTTTTGCTTTGAACAGTCCATTTATCGAGGCAGGCTATGGGCTATAAAACATCACGATACGATCTAAAGGAGGTGAGCAGAGAGCGTATAAACAAGTACGTACTGGTAATTTTCATCTTGGTGTCGGCCGGCGCGTTGCAGTCGGGGCAGTTGGTGGGGAAGGTCAGTACTTCGTCCGCCGCGAGCTGCTCGTACGGCATGGCGCCCTCCTCGAGCGGAGACAGGAGGTGTTCCTCCGACACGGAGGGGGAGGTCACCTCGTTGCACTGAGTGCTCTCTGACAGGGAGAGTCCTTCTATCCGGGGACACTCCGCGTCCTCTGATTTCTGTAATATTGAGTTTGGCTGTGACAATTATTTGTAACATCGCATGGTTCAATGTAACACGAGGCGGTACATTGTGTTACATCATGTAGTTTAGTGTAACAGCGTCAAGTAACGTAAAGTATTGTTGTGTAACGCAACTGTCTGCATTTATTGTCCTTAAGGCTATTTTCTTTCTTGATCACTGTGACTGTATTTTAGTGTTACATTGTTCTCGCACAATCCAAACAGCAAAACTATGTAACTAGTAAATTGTATTGTGAACCTGATTGAAAAAGAGTAACCTATGGAGTTTCTTGCTCGTTCTTCTACATAGGAATCTACACCTTGGAATGAGCAAATAGCTTCACTTTTAATTTTATTGTTGACATTCAAAAGTGTCTAATTGAAATAAATGATTTTGACTTTGACTTTAACAACGCAGTACAGTGTAACGTTACGCCTCGGAACAATAACTAGGCATGGAAGCCAGGCTAAAATAGTAATTTACAAACGTATATCTGATGCTCTCGCTCTTTACACAATTTTGCGTAGGCGAGAATGAGACCGCAAACTAAACATAGTTCTCTAATAATTTGCAGGTTGTCACAACTTTCAGTGGACTCATTACAATTTTATGTCATTGGACTTATTCAGCATACTACCAAATTCAAAATCACGTTTTGACGTTCTATGTTTCACAGTTTCACTCAAGTTTGACACCTTCCTCACTTTGCCGGATTATAGTACTGAAGTGTCACCGTGGTTGTATTTACGGCTCCTGATTATAAAAAATGTTTTTTATGGAATTAGCGCAAAAGAAAGGAAGAAAGGAAGTGTATGGTCGTTCTTTATTATGTGTTTTCCTTAATAAAAATACGTCTTGTGTGATTGACGGCTGCAATTCACATTTAGGAAGAAAAGAAAACAGTGGTGAAAAAATACACTTTCATTCGTAAGTTTTTGATATGTTTTAAAATAAATTATATTGGAAATACCGGTAAACTATAAATAAATGTTACTTATTTATTGTCGTACTTTTCAATTGTAAGCCTAAACAGTATTATTCCATCTTTTCCTAAAAAATCTAAATCAATTTTCTAAGTCAGTTTTTAAGCTAGTGATGTGGTCATGTTACATATCGATATTTTAGTTAGGCTTTGAAGTTCTTTATAGTATAGACGTCGTTTAGAACCCGAATCACATGATACCTTTGATGATTTGACAGACCACGACTACATTTTGTACCCATCATCTATTACGGAATATTCTAAAAATGTCATAGAATACATAATCGGCTTTATTGGAAAGAAATTAAAAAATCTTTACAATGCGAAAAATGCATAGAAAGTCTTGAAAACACGGAGAGTATTCCTTAAAGATCTTTGATATCTTTAAATATAGAGGTAGAAGAGGCCTATTTAAACCAACATATGGCTTAACCAAGATCTGTCAGCTGACCGAAAAAATTATAAGAGAATATCAAGTGCATATTGATTCAAAATCTCTCGGTAAACCAAAATAATTATTAGATTGATTAATAAAGTTTCAGCAAATGTGTTGCCGTCAGAAAATTTTCGAGAAAAAAAAGATTATTCATTAGAACAATCTTTCTATGTTGATCACAGAAATCTTATAAAGTCCATAGCACAAAAATATTTTAAACTTAGGATACATTTTAACAAAGACAATTATATTTAAAAGTCAATGATAAACACATAATAGTGCACCACTACCACGGTTTGTAAATATGCTTTGTTTGTGAGCAATTAAATTATCTTTTTAATATTGTGTTTTATTTTTGAACCCACGACATCCAGATTAAGAACCTAATGTACGTTAGACCACAGCAGCAAAACTTTCAGGTACCATAATTTATCGATAAAATATATTAATTTATTCCCATCATGCCTAATAACGAAACGAAACAATACACATATCTCTTTCTTATACACTATCAATACCATAAGTAAAAAAAAGATGAATATATGGAGTGTAGTTGTTATTTTAGCCTGGCTTCCATGCTTTAGTTATTGTTCCGAGCGTTACGCAGTGTAATGTAATGTTGTGTGACGCAATACAGTCACGTAGTGTCGTGTCACGTGATTTAATGTAGTGTATGTAACGTATCATAGTTGCACCCCAATAGAGTGTAGTAGCACATTGCAATACGAGCCGTGTGCAGCGCGCAGTAAGGTGTAGTTTACCTCGTCGCTGGTGTATATGCCGAGCGCGTGGTCGTGGTCGCGTGTCCTGGTGAAGTCGGTCCTGGTGGCGCGCGGGTCGGGCCGCGGCGCCGCCGGGTTCTCGAGGAAACAGTTACCTAACGGACGGACATACATACATATATACAGTGAAACCTGGTTAAGTGAGACATCAAGGGACCTGCAATGTCGTTTCACTTATAGAGGTATTCCACTTACCCAGTGTCTCAGATATACAGGTATAAATAAATATCTGTCCTCTTATAGAGGGTCCCATTAATAGAGGTGGACTTGGAATTACGTGTGTAATTTGCGGGTAGAATAAGAATGAGTAAACAAACAATGTTATCTCAGTTACAGAGGTTTATGCATATACCTCTAAAAATAATGTACTCGCTGTCTCAGTTATAGAGTAACTATGATGATAAATCAAAAGATCAAATCCCAGATATAGAGTTTACCTCGTCTCACTAATAGAGGTATTTCAGTGCCCAAGTGTTGGGACCTTAGCATGAGTTCCAGTTATGGAGGTTTCTCACTTATCCAGGTCCCACTTAACCAAGTTTCTCTGTACATGCATGTAGGACAACGAACGTAGATGGCATTGTATGTACGGTCTCTGACATAACATCACGCATTGTATCCTCGAAGGATGCAATGCACCGGAACTTAATGCCACTGTACAATGTAACACCCACATTTTACTATTTATATTTTGAGTCCCATGTAATAGGGGGTGGGCCTATCGCCATATACCACAATTCCAGACTCTGTGCAACTACTGAGATTTTTTAGTACCCGAGACCCTTGCCCGGCAGTCGCACTTGCGACCACTCGGCCAACGAGGCAGTCATGACATGACAATGCTTGCAATTTGTCCATTTAATACTATGGCAACCCTTTATTCGTAGATACAAGGCCGGCAACGTAACGTCTCTAGTGTTCTGGGTGTCCATGACCGGCATTAGAGATTCAGGGATTGAGGCATTGCGGTTTTAGTGATTTGGAGATAGTAATTCAGATATTGGACGCTCGAATCAGGGATTTAGGTATTGGGTACTGCTGACCAGTGATTGAGGATTTGGAGCATTTGAGATTAGGGATATAGGGATTGGAGATCATTACAATAGTGGACTGACCGCTGATGTCCTCGAGCTCCAGCGTCCAGGGCCCGGCGGCGGTGTGTCGGAGCGAGTCGAGTCGCTCGACGTAGTCGTCGATGGCGCGCGCGTCGGCCGGGTGCTGCAGGCGCCGCGTGGCTTGGTCCTGCGTGAGGCCGGCCACCGCGCGCGAGATGATGCCCTCCACCGTCGTCACCTCTGCCACAGTCAGAATCTAATATTAGAAATGCGAACGTGTGTGTATATGTTACTTACTCATACACGTCAAAACGGCTGAAGGGATCGGGGAGAAATTTGTAACAGGGTTTAGATTATTGTCTGGAATAACATATAGGATATTTTGTATCCCACGAGAACACGCAGAAGCTTTTTTTTTTAAGAGGGGAAAATCATCGAATGACTGCTCCCGCCTGGGTCAGGCGGAAGGGAGTGTCAGACTCTTACTGACTAAAAACCACCCCGTTCCTTCTCCTGCACGTCGAGCCGGAGCCCCGGTTACCCGTTAGGTTCTCCGCGACAACACGCAGAAGCTACTAGTTACTTGTTATAAACGAAGAGGTACACCTACTAATCAAATAGTCAAAAAATTTAAAGATTCAATCAATCAAAATGAGCGCTAACATTTGTGTAGTCAATAGATGGCGCCAATGTGACGTGAGGTCCTGTTTCTTATAATAGATAAATTAGCAAGGGTCGAATCATTGTATAGTATATTTTTAATACTATAAGATATTGAGTAAATATATTACAGACCTCACGCTACACTGGCGCAATCTAGTGGTAAGAAGCGGAAGCTCTCATTACTAAATAATTCGTTAAAAATGATAATGAACATGGGTACTGCATTATTGGTGTAATGGCCATGAACATAGGCATCAAGCTAAGAATCTTAGGTTCAATCCTTGAGTAAAGTCTTTTTTTAAGGGCGTAAAATCATCGAATGACTTCCCGCCTGAGTGAGGCGGGAGGGAGTGTCAGACTCTTACTGACTAAAAACCACCCCGTAAGTGAGTAATGTATGGCACTGCAAACTCAAACTCGAAAGCATTTATTTCAATTAAACCATAATTTGGTACTTTTGAAACATCAACAAATACAAAATAAATACCTAATAGTCTGTCAGTCTGTCCGTCAGTGAAGCTGGGAAACTTAAAATGAAGTTGACTACACACCTCCCTTCTGGCTCTGCGCAGGTATCTCGAAGTCAATGCTGGGTATCCGGACACAGGTGTAGTCGCTCTTGACAACTTGCCTGTTGAGGTCGGCGGCGTCCTCCACGCGCAGCTCCCAGCGCACGCCGCGCTCCGCGAGCGCGCCGCCCGCCTGCAGCTCGTTGTTCTCGTACCCGCAGTGCTCGCAGCTGAACGACATCACCACTACATTCTTGTAGTACGGTATCCGAGTCAGCAGGAGCCGTGTGATGCCCTGTGAGCAGAGAGAGGGTGGTGTCTTTACGTCACTAACAATGTGCCTCCTTGACACAAGAGACTTATCATAATCATTATCGCTTACCACCAGGCGAGATAGTGGTCAAACGTCGGCCCATCAAACACAAAAAGAAAAAAGTTCTCCGCAGGCTGGCGGGTTGGAGGTTGCAGTAAAAAAGGTTCAGGTTTATCATTGAGCACTTCTGTACGGGCTCTGTCTAATGTGTAGAACCTTGATAGGGTACATGATAATTATGACACCGAAGCGAGGAGGTGGTGATGAATGTATGCTACCACAGAGGTTTGACTGTACATAACATGCACACCGTCAGTGACTGTATCACTACACAGTATAAAACAAAGTCGCTATCCGCTGTCTGTCCCTATGTATGCTTACATCTTTAAAACTACACAACGGATTTTGGAAGCTTTAAATAATATATAATACATGCATATAGCACCCGTGCAAAGTCGGGGCGGGTCGCTAGTTAACTGTAAACAACATGATGTACCCATATAATTTTGTGCAAATAAATAATTTGAATTGAAATATTGTCCCACCTGCTTCTAATTGGAAACCAATAAAAAATGCTACTAATATTATGAATTTAAAAGTTTGTGTGCTTGCTGCTCAATCACATCAAATGGCTGAACGTATAGGGATGAAACTTGGAACAGAAGTAGATTATGCTCGTGAATAGCACATAGACAATTTTATTTCAATTGCGGATGAAGTCGCTGGCAGAATCTAGAAATAAATAATTGAATATTCATTTGTTTAGAACTATTTCATTAAATAATTCTTGAGGAGCTGTAATGTAATCTAATGAATTAAACAAGGATGGCCACCACAATTAATGATTTACTAAAAACAAGATAATTAAGTAACAACTATTCTCTTACTGTAATGGTGACTTGACAGTTTAATAATGAACTTAAGTAATACAGCACAAACAAATATGAAATTAGAAAAAAAATATGTCCAATACTTCTATACATATATTTAGTGTGAAAATAAGTATACCTAGTTTAGTGATAATCATAGGGAATAGTAAACCAGAAAGTTATAATAAAATTCTCTAACTAATATACAGCCTCTTCAACTAAAAAGTGTTCAATATTACTCATTACTCCACCCCTATTGACATGTACTGCCCTATATTCCTCATACCGTCTGCTGCAGCAGACTGCAGTCGTGTCAACGACCCCATAACCTACACCATCGACCAGTCGGCGGCGGCTGGCAACTAGCCACCATAACATAATATTAGATGCCATAAAACTAGTGCTATTTGTGGCAAATTAAAGAATTATACAGCAAATATATAATAATTACTCAATTGAAAGCTGTTCTAATATATAAACACGCAATAATACAGGCATGTAAAGTTTCTAGAAAGGTTTGTTTACGTACATCTTCGTGGCAGTTCATGCAGAGAGACTCGATCTCCGTCACCTCGGGCTCCTCGTCCGGATCGCCGCCGAGGGGCCGGAACAACGGCTGCTTGGTCTCAGCACTCATTGTAGTCAGTACTCGACACAAACTGGGAATATTATGAAACCAAAACTCAGCAACAACTCGTCGTCCTCACAACCACGTTTATTTGACACTGACAGTGACACTTGATAGAGGAGTTGACAGCGTCTGCTTATCTCTAACTTCAGTTGCATCCACAAATTATACAAAACTGCTACGAGAATATAATTCGCACAAAAGTTTTATTTCTTTTTTATTTCAAATTATTATTATTTCATAGCTTGTTTCACAGAATAATTTAAAGTTCGATAACCTACTTTCATTTTTAACATCAACGTAGCACAATTCGAAAGGTACTAAAATAGCAACTTCAACAGCAACTATTCAGAGTGCGGCAATTTTAAATAGATCAAACGTGCTGTGTTTTGATTGCGATATAAATAAGTACACAAATAACTTTCGATGCAGGGTCGACGATATTAATACATATCGACTCAACTGTGCCTCATGCTTCATTCGACCCTGTTTCAGCACTCATTATGCCATTATTTCTCTTTACCCACTACAGTACAGCTGTTGTTTTGGCAACAGAATGTTGTAAACATTTGTTCATAAACAGAGGAGAGTTTTAACTTTGTGTTCATTTTAAGAAGTGGCTGAAGCTGACTAATATAAAATAGATACAAAGTAACTGATATGTAATCTAGTCGAAGTATAGTGGAAGGTGGAAGCAATATACTTAATTACGTGGCTATTATATATAGTTTGTTTGTAGGCCAGTCGATAAAGCGAAGGTTGCCGGCGAGCCCCGCAGGGCGCCGTGCCACACAGTGCACACAGGCACATGATGTCACGACGAGATATAAACACAACCTTGGAATAGCAACGAAATCATTGCGTCATCGCTTTATTTTGGTCGATTTTGTCGCTTCTCTATAATACGACCAACTTTAATACCACTCGGTGTAACTAAACGTATATCGATTCGTCGCGTTTTTTTATCTGGCGTGTAATATGAAATATTCCCGCTCGAAGTAGAGTGCTATTTGAATGAAAATAGTATTTAGTGAAGAGAGAATCTCAGTGCGCGCTGCAAGTGTGAGAATATAATTATTTAATAAACGTGACGAACACGTTGAGTGAGACTAGTCTGTACTTAGGAAAATATTTTTAATTTAAAAAACGTAAGTACATATTATTTAATCTGTGTTTCATTTGCCGCGTGTTTGTTTTAAATTGCTCGCGAAACTAATTTGTAAATAAAATAAATACTATCTTCAAAGCATAGTTAGGTACTTACTAATGATGTCATTTATATCAATTTGTATTTGTCAGATTTTAACAAAAACTTAGCTACGTCAGGTACAATACTATGGTTCAAAGGTTTATTTACGTAGTTACCATGTCGGTTTACTTGGTTCACTTCTTAATTAAGCTTTTTTAATCTTAAGAAGACCAGGCAGGTACACACTCACGTGCCAACTACGATACACTTACATGAAAAAAAAACTAAACATAAATAAAATTGTAGTGTCGGTTAGTAATATTAAAATAATTGCTTTTTATTGTATGCATATTTTATGAATAAACATAGGTAACCAAACTCATTTTCTTACAATATTTGTCTGTTTGTACTGGCTAATCTCTGGAATGGTTGGATCGATTGTGACGAGTCTTTTATTGTTAGCGGATGTACTAAGGAGTACCATAGGCTACTTTTATTTTGAAAAAATCGAAACAAATATAATTATGTACTAAAATTCATATAGGTATAAATGAAGTCGGTGTATTTACGAGCGCGGTAGCGAAGCGAGTATATGACATCGCGCATCGCGTTCACGTAGGTCCAGTAAACTGTCTAGGCTAGGTGTTTATTTTAAAGGAACTAGGAACTAATCTCTTGAATCAGCTGTGAACAAAATCGGTGAATAAATATGCAGTTGTAGATTCCGTGCGAATTATAAATATAAAAGTATATTAAGTACACTGCTGCATTGTCCGAGTGGTCGCAAGTGCGACTGCCAGGCAAGGGGTCTCGGGTTCGATTCCCGGGTCGGGCAAAGTATTACTGGGTTTTTTTAAAGAAATTCTTAGTAGTAGCACGGAGTTTGGAAATGTGCGCGGTATGTGGCATAGACTCACCCCCTATTACATGGGACTCGTAACATGAGAAGTGAAAAGTAAGTGTTACATTGTACAGTGGCATTAAGTGCCGTAATGTACATCTCTGCCTACCCCTTCGGTAGTAAAAGGCGTGATGTTACGTTAATGTAATACATCCGCGTTGCAACGTCTACTACCGTCCATCGCGTGTCGTCGCTGTAACTATGAGTCTATGAGCTCATCGCACACCGCAGTGACCGCCTGACCGCGCGCTACTCGTCACACGACTCACACGTAAACTTTATCTCAATCTCAATACCTACTATGATTTTGATACTTAATTAATTGGACCTTGACTCAATGCCTTCTCCCGCCTTGCGTGAGGCGGGAGGGAGTGTCAGACTCTTACTGACTAAAAACCACCCCGTTCCTTCTCCTACACTTCGAGCCGGAGCCCCGGTTACCCGTTAGGCCTTCCGCCTTCGTATCGGCATCAGCCCTACTGGGCTCCATCTGTGGTGATTTAGCTCTGTGAGGGGATACGCACGTATGCATGGATCTTTACCCTACATTAAGATCTTATTCTGTGTCGTGCGTACATTTATAAGTATGCAAATACACTTACACTTACACTTACACTTCACACCCACCCGGAACAACGTTTTGTGGATTATCCCATAGAGTTTTTAGTGGGAATGAAGTATAACCTGGGTGTCTTCAAGGCCCGAGTGAATAGGTTGCTTATGGCACGACGTGCTCCATCGTAGACCGCGTCATCGTGCACCACCAGGCGAGGTAGAGAGGACACACGTCGGCCCAACAAATATTAAAAAAAAAAGTCGTTAAACGTTGCACAGCAGCCACTACACCAATCGTGCATCACCAACAATGTAATGAGTATGTGATTGTATTTGTAAACACCCCCAAAAGTCTAGCAACCCACTTGCAACTCCTCTGAGGCCTTAACACGAGTTTCTTTTTCATTTAAAATAATCGTAACGAGTACGCGTTCGGCGCTGGTGTTCCAGGTGTCCATGGGTGACACTGATTGCTTACCATCAGGTGATCCATGTGCTCGATTGCCGCAGTATGCAATAACAAAAAAACGCATCCACGAGCGATACTTCTCTGGGGTACCTTCTGAAAATAAATATGTTAATGAATGACTCATGAAGATGAAGTGTCGTCTGCGCAGGCTCTAAATATCTCATGAGAAAGCTTAGTATGTGCCTCTGCACACCTCGAAAGGCAGCAATACAATATGTAGCTACCCACACACTGCACACACACACACACACACACACACGTAGGTAGATGTAGGCACACTACCGCACGATGCCGTCGCTCGGGAGCAGAGACCGAGGTCGACACACGATTTCATCAACTAGGTAAACACACTAAACATAATAAACTTATGACATGTCCACAGACACAGACATAACAAATAAACAAACAAAATAATAGAAACGTTGCTGTCCCCAAAAAAGGATTCACTTTTCGTTTGTTAAGAATTGATAAATCATCCAGTGACTACCCTGGGTGAGGAGGGAGGAGTCATCGCAACCACGGACCTAACCATAAATAAAATTTCCAATCCCCAAAAGACCGGTAACGCACTTGTAACGCCTCTAGTGTTCCTCTGGTGTTCCGGGTGTCCATGAGTGACGCCGATTGTTTACCATCAGGTGATCCACCTGCTCGTTTGATCCTACTTCATTCTTCTGATTGTTATTGGCTATCGATATTTTCTTTTTGTTTTTTTTTTTTAAAACGTTTGCCCATACTAGGATGTTTTCTGTGTCGTGGGTGCGTTTACAAATCTACAAGTTCACATACATATGATACCCAGACCCGGAATAATAATCTGTGGATCACACAAGAAGTTGTTCCGTCAGGTCAGGGAATCGAAGCCGAGACACGTTGCGTAGCAGCCAGTTGCCCATCCACCGCGCCAACCGTGCAATAGTCCAGTCTACTCGTCTGCCGCTTCATACCGGAAGAAAAAAACTTAGGACCTGCTTGACTAAAACGTACGCACAAGTAAATGAGTTTTGGTGGAGAAACCTTCACGTTCATACATATATGTACATAATGCTCACGTGCAGGTACAGGTATGTACATAATGTATTCAGTGCTGTGACGTCACAGTGTGTGCTTCACTTCACATGCCTCCTGAAAGTGTGGCGGTGTGAGTGACCGACACGCGGGACCTTGTACTCTTGCATGTATTTACACAAATGTATTGTATTGTGTGCCTGTACACTTCCTAATTCATGTGTGCATTTACTCTTATATCTACGTCTACGTGTACACTTAATTATATCTACTTATGTGCAGTAAGATTTCCGCAATATTTTGAAGGACTCTTGCTCCGACCGTGATATTTATCATGCACGTACGTTGCTATCCACATTTCAAGTTGCGGTTTCATCGTAAAGATATCAATGTGAACTGAAGTAAGAGGTTTATTTTTAATGATTACGTTATTTAACAAAATTCGGTAACCTGTAGCTTCATACATATATCATAGTATTTAAAAATTGTTAGATTGTAAATGTCGTGGTGGCCCGGAGGTTTAAGATGCCCGCTTCTCATACATGAGGGTGCGGGCTCGAAATCTACCAACGGCAAGTACCAATGTGACGTTTTCTGAGTTATATGTACTTTCTCTGATTATCTAGACACTACTGACAAACGGTGAAAGAAAACATCATGAGGAAACCTGGGTTTATATTTTCTAAGTACAGGTAAATTTGAAATCGCCCCCGCATTGAGCAAGCGTGGTGATTAATGTTCAAACCTTCACCGTGTTAGAAAAGGCCTTTGGTCAGTAGTGGACACTTTAGGCTGTTGACGATGATGATTGATGATGAAAGTTTTACTGAAAAATCTAAATATTACCAATTTCAGCAGCCAGACGACATGGTTTACATAATCATCATAATTTATGTAAATCAGATAACACCTCCTTGGTGCTATGAACACAAGAAAAAAAACTTAACTTTTGACATAAGTTTTGGCGGGCGCGCGCCATATTTGAGCGATGACGTCACGATGCGTTAAGTTGAAACTATTTTTATGGAAATGATCGGAACGTGATGTAATGTTTAAATAAAAAACATTTAGGCGTGCTCTCGTCTGAATATATTACACTAATCGATTACATAGCTTAGGTACATACCTATTAATTAGGTACGAGTATAAATTCGTTTGACACGCATTGTAATGTCATCATGAGAAGCATTCACATTCTATGGATTTGAGCTTCAATACATCAATCAATACATAGTATAAAACAAAGTCGCTTTCGCTGTATGTCCGTATGTATGCTTAGATCTTTAAAACTACGCAACGGATTTTGATGCGGTTTTTTTTAATAGATAGAGTGATTCTTAAGGAAGGTTTGTATGTATAATACATGCATATTGCACCCGTGCGAAGCCGGGGCGGGTCGCTAGTAGATTATAAATATGTCGACTTGTGTCAACACGTTATTCTAAAAACATCAATAGGGTTGTAGTGCTACCGGGGGCAATAACCACATTCTTTTATTATGGAATAAGCCGGTAAACTAGCAGACGGCTCACCTGGTGGCATTCCTGAAGGTAAGCAATCGGCGTCGCCCGTGGACACCGGAAATACCAGAGGTGTTACAAGTGCCTTACCGGCCTTTTGGGGATTAGGAGTTTGAGAATAGTTGAGGATTCAGGGATTGTGTAGATCGGGGAGGGAGTAATTAAGCCTCTGGTAACCTCACTCACACAACGAAACACAACGCAAGTGTTGTTTCACGTCGGTTTACTGGGAGGACGTGGTATCAGTGCGGTCGAGCCGGCCCATTCGGGATTCGTGCCGAAGCATGACTCTTCCACACTCACATACCGAGACTCCCGTCCTCACCGAGGAACAGGGCAGGAATTGGAACAGACTGGTTTTTCAGTGTAGTCAGTAAGAGTCCGTCACTCTCTCTCATTAACATTTAATGATATTCCTCTCGCACAAAAAAGGGTTGTTGTTGCACCTCTCGTATTCCTCGTCGAGCTGTCTACCAACTGCTCTCAACATTCCATCTTGGTCCACTGCGGGACATTTTCTATGTTGTTTTTACAATAACTATCGTGAGACATACTAAATTAACTAAAAATCGCGAGTTACCCACGTGAATATACTGAGAAAAGCACTACTAGTTTCGAACCACAGAGGGGCTCTTCCTCATGAGCAGCGTGCGCGATCGCGGATCGCGGATGTCGCGCAGCCTATCTTTCTCAGTATATTCACGCTAAGAACCCGCAATTTTTAGTTAATTCAAATTCAGAAGAATTCACCGTTAGATTTAAATCTTCATCTTGTATAACCTTATTATTAAACTAGCGTACATACGTAAATGTAAAGTAGATACAAACAACGTAGGTACTATAACTTGTCATAAATCAATACTTCATGAGAATTGTAATAAACACACATATATATATATATATATTATTTAACTGTTCTCAAAGTAAATAAAATATATTGCTATTATACATATAAACATAGCCACTCAGTACCAACTTGTAGATGATGTCATATATATATATTAAACAACTAGTAGGTATGTCGAACTGTCGTGCACTTGACCTAGACAGCCGGTATGTGGAGGACTTTAAACGACACTAGCGCCACTTCCTAGTAAACTATGTTGCTGGTACTTTTTTTTTTTTTTTTTTTAGGGGGGGAAAATCATCGAATGACTGCCCCCGCCTGGGTGAGGCGGGAGGGAGTGTCAGACTCTTACTGACTAAAAACCACCCCGTTCCTTCTCCTGCACGTCGAGCCGGAGCCCCGGTTACCCGTTAGGTTCTCCGCGACTCCGAATCGGCATCGGCCCTATTGGGCCCCATCTGTGGTGGTCTGATGGCTCTTTGAGGCGCGCGCGGAACGCGACGCGCCGTACGCTCGGGTCTGTTTCTGGTCGGACGGGGAGCCACCCATGCTCGCCGTCCGCAGGCCCGCGCTTACGGTGGCCGGAGATCGTCCCGCGATCCCCGACGCCCGGTGTGTCCTTCGCGATGGCTGGGTTGCGAGGAGGCAGCGCTTCGCTGCCTCACGCGTCCCGCCTCCTCCTTAGCTAGCATGACTGCTTCGCAAAAGGAGGAGACGGCATCCCAATCCCATGTTGCTGGTACTAGCTTCTGTCGATGTCCTTGTTCTCATTATCGAGATATAAACTAGTTACCCAGTGGCTAGTCTTTGTTCATTTTCCAGAATAATTATGATCTAATTACAAACATATTTACATTTCCAAAATCTCATGTATAGTTGCGTGGACTTGTTTGTCAACAGTCGGTTGCTACACGCCGCACCTCGCCAACGCAATTATTATTACTGTGCGTAACTATGTGACTAGTACTGACAAGTAACGACTAACTCGCAGCGGTGAGACAGTCGACAGACGACACATTGTCATCAACAACACGTGAGAGTCCACTGCCTCCTCGCTCCTCCCCCTCTCGTGTTGGAGGTCGCAGTATACAAGGTTCAGGGTTATCTGACAGCGCTGCTGCACGGTCTCTGTCTAATGTGTATAATCAAAGAAAGAGTTGGAGCACAAATATTAATAAAGTCAATATAACTATTATCGTTACAGAGCGATGGGTAAGGACGAGAAAGAAGACTCCGGGTTCGGGTTCAAGGACAAGGCGAAGGCGGTGGAGACGCTGCGGCTGCTGGAACAGCACGACGCCAACTACCGGCGCCTCACCGTGCGCGGCCTGCTCGGCAGGGCCAAGCGGGTGCTCTCCAGTCAGTATTGCAGTTATATTATTACTCCTAGCATGTTGGGGAAATGGTTGGAAGATTATTAGGTCAGTTGATGTCTATTGACTTAAGACTGCCTCGTTTGCCGAGTGTTCACACTGGTAATGGATTTCGGATTTGATGCCCAGGACGGGCAAAGTATTACTGGGTTTTAAAAAAAATCTCATTAGTAGCACGGAGATTGGAATTGTGCCCGGTAGGCTCACCCCCTATTACATGGGACTCATAACATAAATAGTGATAAGTGGGTGTTACATTGTACAGTAGCAATAAGTGCCATAATGTGCACCTATGCCTGCCCTTCGGGGATAAGGCGTAATGTTATACATATTATGTAGATGTCTACTGCCTCAAAGTCTTCGCACACCTAACAATCACGGCTCCGGCACTGCAGTAACCCAGCAATTAACTTGTCATTTAAATATGAACTTTAAATCGAATGTCGTATGACATAATATTTCATAACATCAATATGAAAGAGTTGTAGCCACCAGTGCGCCGTCGGCGCGCTTACAACTATTTTGTATTGTATTTCCAAAGTTAAAATGTCGTGTTTGAGCCGAGCCAAAGCTTTGCACAGCCGTGCTTGTAAATGTGTGATGAACTATTCGGTTAACTTGAAGGAAAACATCGCGAGCAAACCTGGACCTATACTTTCTAATTATATTGAAATACCGCGCGCCTAGAGCAAGCGTCGTGGTTATTGTTCATTCCTTCTCCGTGTAGGAAGAGGCCTTTGGTCATTAGCGGGTATTTACTAGCCGTTGAGGTGATCCCCTATCCACAAATCCTCCTTAAAAGGCTCAAAACTGCTTTGGCGTAATGTGGTGCTCAAAGTCAGCGCCGATTGCTTACCGTCAGGTGATCCAACCGCTTAATTAAATGAAACAATCTAGTACTAACTTTTATCCACTTCACGTTGCAGTGACGAAGGCAGAAGACAAAATAAAGAACATTAAAGAAGCGATGGAGGTGTTCGAGCAGTGGCTGGCGGACCTCGACGCCAACAAGAAGACTGACAAGCCAGACAAGAAAGACACCAAGAAGGAGGAAAAGAAGAAGGAAGAGAAGAAGAAGGAGAAGGAAGAGAAGAGTGGTAGTGATGAGGTGAGTGGACCCTGTGTCTGAATACACCAAGCGATTATATGTATGACTACACAACAACGATGAATATTTCTTGAAACAAAAATTGTGACAAGGTGTATCGGGTTCGATTACCGGCTCGGGCAAAGTACTACAGGGTTTTAAAAAAAAATCTCAGTAGTAGCACGGAGTCTGGAACTGTGCCCGGTATATGGCAACAGACTCACCCCCTATTACATGGGACTCATAACAGAAATAGTGAAAAGTGGGTGTTACATTGTACAGTGGCACCTCTGACTACCACTTCGGGGATAAAATGTTATGATGATGATGACAAAAATCGTAATGTTATTTCATTATAATACATTGACTGATTGCACAGTTGGCGCAGTGGCTGGGTAACTGTTGCGCTACCTGTCGTGGGTTCGATTCCCGAACGGACACAGAGCTCTTCTCTTCGAACTCTTTGTGAAATCGACAAATAAGTAGTTCCGTCTCTGTGTGTGGTGTGTATGAGAAAGTGTTTGCAGACGGACAGACATACACCCGACACATGAGCCGGTTCTATCGCGGGGTAACGTTCACAAACAGAAACGTATTGTTCCAGAGCTCATCAGCATCAGACGTGGAGATGGAAGACAAGAAGGCGAGCGAGAAGAAGGAGCTGCCGTCGGAGTCGGTGCCGGGGCTCGGGTTCAAGGACCGCGCCGCCGCCGAGGGCACGCTCAAGGAGCTGGAGGGCCGGGACCCTGACTACCAGAGACTGGCCGTCAAAGGACTGATTGGACGCGCCAAGAGGGTGCTCACTTGTGAGTACCACCCATACACTGTCATACACACTGTTACGGCGGTCCTTCGGGACATCGTTTCAATTTAGAACTAATAATGGCCGATGGATTTATAACAGGAAGACAATCTCGGCAGAAACCCAAACATGTTGTGCTGGAGATGTAATAGATAGCATAGCGTTTCCTTTTAAATTTTCTAATTAGAACAACTAAGGAGTGCAATTCTTTGCCAGAGTCTGTATTTCCTGAAGGGTGTATAACCTGGGTGTCTTCAAGGCCCGAGTGAATAGGTTTGCTCATGGTACGACGTGCTCCATCGTAGACCGCATCATCGTGCACCACTGCCTACTGACTGACATTACCAGCCAATAACTCCCTTACCACATGTTCCAGGCACCCGAGATGAGACTAAGATCTCCAACATAAAGGAAGCGATGGCCATCTTCGAGAAGTTCCTGGACGACTTCGAGTCTCTACACCTCAGCAAGCAGAACAACCCGTACATATCACTTGGACACGTCAGAACTGCTGAGAAACTCGCCGGGGACACTGTCACTGAACTACAGGTGGGTACCAGCTGGTAAACCATCGGCGCTTCCGACACCAGAGGAGTTCCGAGAGCATTTTCGGCTTTGTAGCGATTTGGAGATTGGGGATGGGGGTGGATTGAACCCCCAGTCATTTCACAAATCAATAGAAGGTGATAATCCATGTTGACCTACAAACCTGCTTTATAAAAGGTTAGCCGTAACCTCCAGGGTTAACGGGCTAGTTGAAAACCCCAGTTTAAAAGGTTAAGGTATACCAGGCGACGGAACTGCCTGGCCGCTGACAAAAGTGGATAGATTCTTGCTTGATCATGTGTTATACACCTACCAACGTACCAATGTGACTATTTCCGAGTTATATGTACTTTCTAAGATTATTTAGACACCACTGACAAACGGTGAAGGAAGACATCATGAGGAAACCTCGTCTTACAATTTCCAATTATAAGTTTGTAATCGTCAACCTGCATTGAACAAGCGTGATGATTGATTCTCAAACCTTCTCCGTGTGAGAAGAGGTTTTGCCCAGCAGTGGACATTTATAGACCGTTGATGTTGATGATGTGTTACACCCCCAAGGGAACAGTCACCACTGTTCTTGTCAGTCATCACGATGACTATGCTACTTGGTCGTCAGCACAAACTGAGTCGTATTGTATTGTTGCAGAGATCGTTCATAGCGGCGTACAGCGGCGTGTCGGGCGAGTACAAGCGACTGCGCAGCGTGCGCGCGCAGGCCGGGGACTGCACCTGGGACGTCGTCAGGAACAGGGAGCTTCAGACGCTCAAGGAGAAGGTACTCACGTCATCTTAGCTCAGTTTCATCAAGCTTCCTTGTGCGTACTGCTAAGGACCCACTTAGATTTTAGTCAAATTTCCGTGGTCATTCTCTTCTTTGTGCCTTTAGGCTTAATTCATTGTCTCCTACAGTAATTCATTGAGGTTACTCATGGCCCTGGGACGCGCCGGACTTCAGTGTTCCGATGTTGTCATGGTTGTATCTACTGTAGATCCTGGTCCACAGGAGTTGCAGCGGTTTTGGGGGGTTGTGGCGGGCTTGTCCTAATTAAGTATTGGTAAGGAGTGGAATCCTTTTTTTGAGTCTGTATTTCCTGAAGGGTATAATATATAACCTGGGTGTCGTCAAGGCCCGAATGAATAGGTTGCTTATGGGACGACGTGCTCCATCGTAGACCGCGTCTCATCGTGCACCATCAGGTGAGATAGTGGGCACACGTCAGTCCCATCTAATATAGAAAAGTCAGCGTCAGCCTAGCTCGCCGCTTGACCAGAATCAGACCCGAGCGTACTCAAAGAGTGATTAGACCACTATAGACCGGACCTATTACGGCCAACGTCCGGGCTTGCCGTCATATAGATGCTGAAATCAGGGCTTGAACTGGAGCGTGGTAGTGTTTAGTTTGACACTGTTCCCTCTCGCCTCACCCAGAGCGGAAAATTATCAATATATCTCCGACATTTGATAATTATCCATTTCAAAAAAATTCACCGTCCATTTCAGTTCTTCGAAGTCTTTTCTGGTCTTCTAAATAATATAATGGTACTTACTCTTTGACGTTTGTGTTGCAGCACGCCGAGGCCAAGTTGTTCACAGACAAGGACGAGCCCACCGCGGAACACTTACAGATGTTGCTGTGGGCGTACTCCCCCGAGCCCGCCAGGGTTAAGAAATACCTCCCGGAGACCAAGGAGGACAGGGAGGACAGGAAACGGAGGAGTAGCGGACGGGAGGAAGAATCCCCCTCCAAGCGGAGTAAACAATAACTTGTGATTGTTCATGCATTTATTTTTATTATTCAATAAATATTCGTTTACATGCAGTTTAGCTATTTTTATTATTAGTTGTTCTTTTAAACTATCCTACAAGAGCACTTTTGTGGTACTCGTCGCGACACTTGATTTATACCAACTATGTATAAAGTAGAAGGTAAACTATTTCTATTAAAATTAAAATAAGTTAAGAATAATAATAATTTCGTTTCACGAGCGAGAACAGAATAATTGTTGTACTACTAACGCCATCTCTATCTTGTTCCCTGGAACAATAACTTGGTAGTACGACGTACAATAATTTAGGATATTGAATCTGTGGTCACGTGTCGGTCAAACAAACAATGAATGAATCACGAATGATCACGAAATATAAATATTGTAGGTTCGACAGGGACTTGCGGTCGAATATTTGGAAAATGAAAGTAAGGCAAAAGAGAATCGATTATTTAATTTATTATTTGTATAGCTATAGAAACACTGATAGAACTCTCATTGACATATGGATATAATAATAACGATAAAATAAAAATGTTGGTCGTTGATATCCACCACTATGAAGTTTGGTCTTGGCGTTTCGTCATATGAGTTTAGATTAGATTAGGCGCCTATATAGGTATTGTTAAACGTCAAGAAAATTCTTTACTATTTAAAACACATTGAATATATTTGATTTAAAAGTGAATTTTGTAGAATTATAATGAGCCTACAACTCAGTAGACAGTCACGTCCCCGCGAATGTTGAATCAACTTACTAGGGACTGCGCAGATGAGGAATTATTATGACGAACTTTGTATGCTAGCAATAGTTTAAACTTATTATTAAAGACCTTAATGTACTCACCAATGTTTACAATTAATAAATGAATTACAATTTAAATTTAATTCGCCTGTATCACGGAGTATTCCGACAAAATTTTTAAAAGATCTTGAACATCGTTCCTGTTATTAAAAGATATTAGATGCCCTAGTTGGGTAGAGCTCTCGAAGGATATTGATTATACAATTAATGTTCTCCAAATCACCATTTATACCTTTTTGGAAGGATGAATGATTATCAAGTGACTGCTCCCGTGCTAAGAGGAGCGAGAGGAAGTGTCAGACTCTTAGATACTGATTAAGCCACTCTGTTACTACTCTTGCCAAATGCCGGAGGCAAGGCACGTGATTAGCGTCGCCCGCAACTCTGGCATCGGGCTTCCGGAGCCGTGGAATACTTATCGGGTTGCCCTGGCTCTGGCTGGAAAAGCAGGATTAGGAACGGGGCGGTTTTTAACGTAAGCGGTCAGTAACTAAAACAGTTTTACAACAAAAAACTACCTCGTTCCTTCTCCTGCACGTCGAGCCGGAGCCCCGGTAACCCGTTAGGTTCTCCGCGTATCCGAATCGGCATCAGCCCTGTTGGGCTCCATCTGTGGTGGTCTGGTGGTCTGATGGCTGAGGCGCGCGCGGAACGCTCGGGTCTGTTTCTGGTCGGACGGGGAGCCACCCATGCTCGCCGTCCGCAGGTCCGCGCTTACGGTGGCCGGAGATCGTCTCGCGATCCCCGACGCCCGGTGTGTCCTTCGCGATGGCTGGGTTGCGAGGAGGCAGCGAAGCGCTACCTCACGCGTCCCGCCTCCTCTTTAGCTAGCATAACTGCTTCGCAAAAGGAGGAGACGGCATTCCAGTCCCCTTCGCTCCGCATCATGGCCTGCACTAGGCCCAGACGCGAGAGGTCGCCATCGCCGATCACTTCCCTGAGAGCACGGCGGTGCGCAGCTCACGCAGGACATTCTCCCACTGTGTGTTCCACCGTGTCCTCATGGCGGTCCTCGCAGTGATGACACCCGGGCGTATCCTCCCGCCCCATCAGACACCTCCCGAAATCGCGCCTCCCCTAGGAACTCAACACATCGCGAATCGCGATGTATGCTTAGGTCCTAATTACCTATTAACTATAATAATATGCGTGATGTCATGTTCAATTCGGTCTAGGATTTGGGATTATCAGTGACTAGTCCATGTAAATCGGTAAACAAAACTATGATAGAAGACATTATTACGGGAACCTGTAACAACTTGTTGGTAACGCTAAAGTACCGCGGCGGCACAGAAACATGTTGTGACGCGTTGAATGTGTTGTTTATATATAAGTACCGCCCGCTGTGTACTGCACAGTGCTGTAGTGGCGGCAGTGACACACGCCCGCGCAGCGCGACACTGAGATACTGTAAATAAATTATCGTTAATACTATTTATTTTTACTATGAATGAATCCCTTCAAAGTCTACACTACACCGCAGTTAAATGATGCTAATAATAAAATTCAGTGACGAGTTGATGACATCTCACATCACTTCCGTAGCTCATGTTATTTTGTTTTATTTAAGTAGACTATTAGGTCCACTATTATGGTATGTCTGTGTGATTTGGTGACGCGAGTAAGCCATATATTATAGCGACATGAGTGTGTATGTTTAACTGACTGACAAAATAAAACAGTTGACTAAGCCACCAAAATATTTATTTATTAAAATGAAATAGTGTGATGATTACGCTCAGTAGCGCTATCGGACCGGTACTCGGTTATCTATCCCGCTCATTGTGTCACAGCTATAGATATAATAGGTAGTTCTGTGATCACAGCCCGTATCAGCCGACTACTACTGAGAGTGGGTAACCATAAGTTCCGAAGTCGGGTTGAAAATAGCAGTATAAAACCTTTAAGCGCTTTGTGCTAAACGTTACCTACGTTTAGCACAAAGCGCTATATACTTGTGGAGCTTCTCTGTTCTTATATCCTCAGGAGGAGGGGGGAGGGGGGTGGTGGTGATGACAAACGTTATATTTAAGTATTCTACTTGTAGAGCTGATCACAATATGGAGAGGCAGCCAGCGCTCCCGTCGACGTCGGTGCCGGGGCTGGGGTTCAAGAACGCGGCGACCGCGGTGCGTACACTGCGCGCGCTGCACGGCAGGGACCCTTCGTACCAGAAAATGGTACTCTCGTACTTCAAAAATTTAGCTAGAAGGGTGCTCAGATGTGAGTGTAGCAAGCAATGAACCTACTTTACGGATATCGAACGTAATATACTTGTGTGACCTTGACAATAGAAGTGACCTTGACTTATAGAAATGGTACTTATCCTTTCTCTTGCGCTTTATAATCTAATGCCGATGCACGCGAATGCGTTTCAATCGGTCCTTTGTTCAAAGATACATGTTCATTCCAGTTACACGAAAAGAGAGAAAGATATCCAATATAAAGGCAGCGGTGACCATCTTCGACAAGTTCCTCGGAGACTTCAACTCGCGCCGCGTCATCAAACAGAACAACCCGTACCTTCACCTCGGCACACTCAGGAAAGTGGAGGAACTAGCGGGAGATAACATTACTGAACAACAGGTGAGAGATGCAGACCACGAGAGACGGGGAGAGTCCATAGGAACGAGTGGGAGAGTAACAGGACAAGAGCGACAGAACAAGAGGGGGTGTGTGACAGAGGGAAAAGGCGAAAGAGACAGGGATGATGATGAAAGTCATAGGGGTGAGTGGGGGAGAGTGTGTGAGAGCGACAGAGCAAAAGGGGGTATGTGACAGAGGGAGAAGGTGAAGAAACAGGGAAGAGGTTGAAAGTGACAAGGGTTAGTGGGCGAGTGAGTAGGGGAGACTGAGTGAGACCGATAGAGATGATGAGGGTGATTGACAGAGAGAGAGAGAGAGAGAGAGATCGAGAGAGAGAGGGAGAGAGAGAGAGGGAGAGAGAGAGGGAGAGAGAGAGATAGAGAGAGAGATAGGTTCGAGAGAAACAGGAGAAAAGGAAGACAGGAGAGATATTGTGCGACGTGTGAGGGTTATAGGAATAGTTGTTCCGTAAAGGAAAACTAAGAGTTAGTTGTATGTTGATATAAATTGTTTTTTGTTTTGCAGAAAGCGTTTATAGCGGCGTACAGCAGCGTGCGCGGTGAGTACAGGCGACTGCGGAACGTGCGCGCGCCAGGTGAAGACACTACCTGGGACATCGTCAGGAACAGAGAGCTCAAGACGCTCAAGAGGAAGGTGATAATTGTTTTTATTAACCTTTAAAAAAAACACGTTGTTCTCCTGCATCGTGGTCGCATTTACAAACATACAAGTTCACATACAGATCATACCCAGACCCGGAACAACAATCTGTGGATTATACAAAGAGTTGCTCCGTGCGGGAATCGAACCCGCCACGCGTTACGCGGCAGCCGGTTGCCCAGCCACCCCGCCAACCATGCAGTCAGCTATAACTATCGTGAGACATAGTGAATTAATTAAAAAATTACGAGTTACTTACTCAGGTAAATACAATACTGAAAAAAGCTCTACTAGTTTCGAGTCAAACAAGGACTCGTCCTCATGAGTGCACGGTCAAATCTTGTCAGCATTGTTTGGCACCGTCGACTGACGAAACAAAGTTAAAACATCCAACAATGCTATAGCTGGTCCAGACCTTAGTTCAGTAGTGACACACTACATTACATTACAGCTCGCCCACGAGGAACTCTTCGATGATGATGGAAAGCCTACTGAGGAACACTTAGAGATGTTACTCTGGGCATACTCCCCCGACCGTAGGGGACTGTGGTGGTACTTCTACACGCCCAGAGAGGAGAAGGAGAGGGAGATGGACAGATGGAGGAATAGCGACGAGGGTGACAGAAAGAGACGGCGCAGCAAAAGGAGTAAGGGTTGTTGTTAATATATTTACTACTAGCCTATGTGTTACTTCTAACCGCAAGTAAACTGCGAGCAACCTAACATTCGACAAACTTATATTTGCGTTTGGTACACTTAATTTTGTCTTTCTTTATTGAAACAAAGAGTTTCCTTTTTCTTGTATAGAAGCACTATTTGTATGGATTGTCAGTATGCATATGTGAGCACCATGTTAGACTTAGAGTTTTATTTTTTTTTATTTTAGTAAGTTATTAGTATAACGCGTCAAGCGTGTCTTTGCATTGTTCTTACATATGCGTACAGTATTGAAATATGTATCAGAGACATTGTAGAACATACCTACTTTTTAAAAAGAGTAACGAATAGAGTTTCTTGCTCGTTCTTCTCCATTCGAATCTACGTTTTGGAATGAGCATCTAGCTTCACCTAATTTCACTGACGGACTGACTGACAGACTATTATTTATTTTGTATTTGTTGACGTTTCAAAAGTACCAAACTATGGTTTAATTGAAATAAATGCTTTGACTTTGACTTTGGATTAAGCCGCACAATTAAGTTTGTTTTTTCGTGGATGTACTTTTTTGGATAAAAAGTACCCAGTGCTGTGTCCAGGACATTAAGGTACAATCGTACCAAGTTTCATCGCAATAGGACTTGTAGTTTTTGCGTGATGCGTGATCATACAGACAGACAGACAGACAGACAGACAGTCAAAATCTTTTTTATCACATTTTTGTGTTCGATGTCTATATAGTAAAGTAGTAACATCCCCTAAATTGTTTTTATATGTTCATTGTACTTAATATCCACTTGTACAGTTTTATTATACTATGTATAGAATAGACTAGCTACTTCCCCGCAGTTTCACACGCTCTGCTTTCGTTCATATTTTAATAGAATTTTAAAAATTGTAGTCAAGAAAAACAAGAAGTTATCCAATATGAAGGAAGCGATAGCGAACGTCGAGCGGTCCCTGCTGGAGCTCAAGGCGCAGAGTTTGAGCAAGCAGGACCCGCACCTGTCGCTCGATACAGTCAGGAAGGCGGAGGAACTGGCGGGGGACAACATTACGGAACTGCAGGTGAGCGACAGAGAGGGATATAGGGAGTTGGACAGGGAGAGAGAGAAATAAAGAGATAATACCTACATTTATTGTGTTTATATATAACTCTCGGGAGACATACTAATTAATTACTATGTTTTCGGTTACTCACGTAACGTGCCGCGACGCGGTGACAGTGGCGCTGCTACTCTAGTAGAACGCGTCGCCGAATGCTGCTCATGAATATGAGCCTCTAGCGTGGCTTGAAACTAGTCGAGTTCCTCGTCAAACAGTTACGTGAGTAAGCCGAGATCATAACAATTAATTTTTACATTTATTGTACATTGGTTTCACCGCACAGGCGAACAATGAGGACTATCTATATCTAATAGTGGATTGAAATAGAACCGCATATTATCGAAATTAAGTTAATAAATCACACAAATTGTTGCAGAGATCGTTCATAGCGGCGTACAGCGGCGTGTCGGGCGAGTACAAGCGACTGCGCAGCGTGCGCGCGCAGGCCGGGGACTCCACCTGGGACGTCGTCAGGAACAGGGAGCTTCAGACGCTCAAGGAGAAGGTAGTTATCAAACATCGTATTCTAGACTGTCTCACTGGCCGAGTGGTCGCAAGTACGACTCGGGGTCTCGGGTTCGATTCCCGGCTCAGGTAAGTATTACTAAGTAGGTCTTTAAAAAAAACCTTAGTTGCACGGAGCCTGGAATTGTGCCCGGTATATGGCAATAGACTTACCCCCTATTACATGGGACTCATAACATAAATAGTGAAAAGTGGGTGTTACATTGTACAGTGGCATTTAAATACTATAATGTGCACCTCTGCCTAACCCTTCATGCCTTTTATCCCCCTTATTCTAGAGGCGCTATTAAGTTTGTCTAAATAAGAACCTACCTAGTACCCACTGAACATGATTTCACAACCCCCTGTTTACTTGATTACCCTGCTATGATTCCCAGCACGCAGGCGCGAAACTGTTTTCTGATGATGGCAGGCCCACAGCAGAACACATAGAAATGTTACTCTGGGCGTACTCTCCCAAATCTAATAAACGAGTTGCGAAGAGATTGCAAAGCCTCTTCGAGACCATACAAGAGCGAGAGAAGGAGAGAGAGAATAAGAACGGCAAGTGTGACAAGAATGGGCAAAGTAACACAAATGATAAAAGGCACAAGATTGACAAGAATGCCAAGAGTAGGAGAAAGAGACAGAATAGCAACAACAACGACGAGAGTGGTAGACTACTACGACGCAGCAAGAGGGTTAGAAAATAATTATAATTGCATTATAACTATTGTTTTTATTTTCATACTATTTATTTTTTTAAGATAAATTATTTATTTGAACATCTTTATTGTTGTTTTATTTGTATAAAAAAATATCTTCACGAAAATCAGTGATAATAAGTGTTCTGTTCTCTCTGTAGAAGTAATTTAAATTGAAATATTTTCGAATGACATGACAAGTTCTATCGTTTCTGAACGTACCATGAATGTCAAAATGAAAATAGACATTTAAATATTTAATCTGTGATCACGTATCTGTCAAACCGACATGAATGAATCACGAATGAATGCAATGTTATTGTATTGTAGGTTGTAGGTACGTCAGGACAGGGAGAAGTGGTCGAATATTATTACGAAAATAAGAGTAAGACAAAAGAGTATCGATTTTTTAATATATTATTTTAAATTTTTACTATTACTAAGATTTTATTTTTTAGATCTTGTCCCTTTATAGGTAGGTAATGTTAAATTAAGATGAATAAAAATGTACAGTTGTCGAAACTTACAAAATTACTTTATCACTACGTCACACTGGATTAGATTCGATTACTGTAAACGTCAATAACCTATTCTACTTATAAAGTTATAACCTAGTATTGATTGCAAATATTGACTCATCAGTCACGTAGGTACTCGCAAATGTTGAAGAAGTATTCGGGGCTGCGCAGACGAGGGAGTCTGTATCAACTGGATCACGAAGTTTATCGACGTAATTTATAAGGGATCGATTGTGATAACAAAGTATCCCGTGAATCCGGCGGCGGATTACCTAGGCCTTTTTTTATTGGGGAAAATCATCGAATGGCTGCTCCCGCCTTGCGTGAGGCGGGAGGGAGTGTCAGACTCTTACTGACTAAAAACCACCCCGTTCCTACTCCTATGGTGATCTGACAGCATTTTGAAGCGCGAAACGCTCGGCGCCTTACGCTCGGGTAGAGTTCTGGATCGGGTGGCGAGCTACCCTTGCTTGCCGTCCGCAGACACGGTGGCCGGTGGAGCAGTGGTTACTTCTATAAGTACCTATTGAACGTCATGATAATTATTATGTTTTAGAACCTGTAATAACTTGTTGGTAACGCTAAAGTACCGCGGCGGGACAGAAACATGTAGTGACGCGTTGAATGTGTTGTTTATATATAAGTACCGCCCGCTGTGTACTGCACAGTGCTGTAGTGGCGGCAGTGACACACGCCCGCGCAGCGCGACACTGAGATACTGTAAATAAATTTATCGTTAATATTACCTATTATATGTATTTGTTTGGCCGCTATAGATAATGGATTTATGATGCTAATTACAAAATTCTGTACTTCCGTCGCCTGTAGTGAAAATAAGTACTTATAGTGTGTTTGTGAGTGTCTGTTTATTATTATTTTTATTTATTTCTCTTTAAATCACACAGTAAGTATGTTATAATTTAAGCCCTACGAAATAGTTACATTGGTTTGACTATGGGCATTACAATTAAATGTACTTATAAATATTATACAGGCGTTGACACTTATATAGAATTTAAAACATTTCTAGGTAATATGACTTTAAATTACGTTTAAACCTATTTGAATTTGTTTTACTACTTATGTCTGCTGGCAGACTATTCAATAGATGTTGTATGTGTGTGTGTGTGTGTGTGTGTGTGTGTGTGTTCCTATTCTCTGCACTGAGATGATTAAAGGGTACTTACTGCACTTTAGATTACCTACTTAAAATTTACCTTCGTTTTTTTAACACCCACGCAAGGATTTCATCTTGTGTCGTGTGTGCGTTTACAAACATACAAGTTCACATACACATGACACCCAGACCCGGAACAACAATTTGTGGATCACGCAAAGAGTTGCTCCTTGCGGAGAATCGAACCCGCGTCACGTTGCGCAGCAGCCAGTGTTGCCCAGCCACCGCACCAACCGTGCCGTCATCCTAAGTCAGTCCGTAGTAACTCAAACAGCGAGTAAATTCGTCCAGTACACACGACAACATTCCCTGCTCGGTGCCCGGGTACCTATCTACGTATGACAGTCCACTGCTGCACTATGAGTCTCCTCTACATAAGAGGGTGTGTCACAATCTCCGCAGACAGGCAGGTTGGAGGTCGCAGTATACAAGGGTCAGGATTGTCCGGTCTCTGCCAGTTCTATAGTCTCTCTGTTCTTACGAAACCAGCGGGGGGTGCCAAATGCACTACTGCGGTCACCACACGACAGACGATTTCAAATTAAACTTGGCCGAGTAGTCGCAAGTGCGACTGCCAGGCAAAGAGACTCAGGTTCAACTCCCGGGTCGAGCAAAGTCGGTATTACTGAGTTTAAAAAAAATCTCAGTAGTAGCACGGAGTCTGAAATTGTGCGCGATATACGGCAATAGGGTCACTCAGTCACTCCATGGGACTAATTCTATAAATAGTGAAAAGTAGGTGTTACATTGTACAGTGGCATTAAGTACTGCCATGTGCACCTCTGCCTTCCCCTCCAAGGATAAAAGGCGTGATATTATGTTATGTGATTACAGATTATCACAAGCACACATGGAGAGCGAGCCGACGCTGCCGTCGAAGACGGTGCCGGGACTGGGGTTCAAGAACGTGGCGGCCGCGGAGCGCACGTTGCGAGCGTTGCACGGCAGGGACCCCTTCTACCAGAAGCTGGTACTCTGTGGACTCAAGTCAACCGCCATGCAAGTGATTCGGCGTGAGTGTAGCTAACTATGAAGTGTTTTTTGATCCTTGACCTTGACCTCTGGTATTGTGACCTTCACCTCTAATAAGTGACCTTGACTTTACAAAAGTTGAGCTTCATTTAATAGTAATTTCCATAAATACGTTTAAAAAACATACTTCAAGCCTGATTTTGAAGTCGGTTCAAAATTATTTCAACCCTTAGTAAAAGCTAGGCTTCAGAACAGTTTGCTCTATTTTAAAAAGGTGAATTTGACTCCATATATATGTAAGTGACCTTGATATTAGAAAGTGACCTAGATTTTTTTCACATGTCGCATTTCTTTCCTACTAAAGAAGTATACTGTTATTACAAATTCCAGTTACACGCAAAGACAGGAAGGTTTCCAATATAAAGGCAGCGGTGGCCATCTTCGACAAGTTCATCGAAGACTTCGACGCGCGCCGCGTCATCAAACAGAACAACCCGTACCTGTCGCTCGATACAGTCAGAAAAGTGGAGGAACTGGCGGGGGACAACATTACGGAACTGCAGGTGAGAGAGAGGGAAACAAGAGGAGAGGTGGAGACTCAGTGGGGAAGAGAGGCAGAGCCATAGGACAATAGTGTGTCAGTGACAGGATAGAGCGGGGAAAAAGACAGTCAGAGAGAAGGGAGGAAACATGGTGACAGGGAAGGGAGGCATGGAATGGATGTGGAGATGAAGATTGAGAGCGGAGGAATAAAAGAAAAGGGTACAACATTTATGAATCAAATTATTATTCCACTAAATAGTTATTCCATGCTGGATTCTAGGGCAGTTCCATTAATGTAAATTATCTTTTGTCATGTTGTGTAGAAAGCATTCATAGCGGCGTACATCAGTGTGCGCGGCGAGTACAGGCGACTGCGCAACGTGCGCGCGCCAGGTGAAGACACTACCTGGGACATCGTCAGGAACAGAGAGCTCAAGACGCTCAAAAGAAAGGTGAGTGTTCCTTCTCTAAGAACCCTAAGATCATCACATGACTTCTCCCGCCCTAGGTAGACGGACTAAGTAACCGAGGGGGAGTTTCAGACTCTTACTTACTAAGACCACGCCATTGCATATTCTGCGTCGAGTCGGAGCTCCGGTAACCTTTAAGGTTGTCAGCAGCTCCGTGCAGTAATACACATAGATACATTACATTACAGCTCGCCCACGCAGAACTCTTCGAAGATGATGGAGAGCCAACAGAGGAGCACATAGAGATGTTACTCTGGGCATACTCCCCCGACTGTAGGAGACTCTGGGAGCACTTCCACAAGCCCAGAGTGGAGAGAGAGAGGTACAGGGAAATTGACATCGACCTTCAGATGCTGGAAACCTGCAACCACGACGACCAGAGTGACGGAGGGAGACGGCGCAGCAAGAGGAGTAAGGAGTTACTGTGATGTGATTCTTAATGCATTTATTTTAACGAATATTGTCCGCTCGTAGTAGAAACAGTGCACTCGAGGGTCCTTAATCTAAAGCCAAGAAAAGCAGGCAACCAGTCCTCAACTCCAGCCTATTAAAGCAAGCTGGAGATTTCCCCCGGGAAAACTCTGAGTACTAGCCCATGGGATCGCTCCCCGACACCTCGCCTTCTGAGCTTATTCAGTAAAGATAAATGCTATGTCAAAGTTAATGTTACACACCGTCATGCCTGCGGCAGGCTGCGACAGGGTGACATCGAAATATTATGAATTTATTTCTGCTGTTGCTGCACCAATCTCTTCATACATGCTCGGACATGGGGATGGTTTGACTCAGTCCATTTTCAAAGTCTGGGGCCTAAAGGCGTCCTTTATCGATTTCCTCACATTATGAGCCGATGCATCTCTTTCTAAAATAATCTTTTACAAATTCCAGTCACTGAAAAGACGATATCCAACATAAAGGAAGCGGTGGTGACCCTCGAGAAGTCCTTGCAAGAGCTCAAGGCACAAACCAAACGGAACCCATACCTGTCGCTCGATGTAGTCAAGAAGGCGAAGGAGCTAGCGAGGGACAACATTACTGAACTGCAGGTGAGCGAGAAGTGAAAAAAGATAGTGTGGGGAAAGGGTAGACGGGGGAGAAAGATAGATACAACAAAAAAGGTCACATTTAGTGCTGCAATATAAAAAGTACAGGACTATGTATGTATACACAATATCAAATTGACAGTTATAACAGTGATTTTATATTTTTGGGATAAGCCGGTAAACGAGCAGACGGATCAGCTGATGGTAAGCAATTGGCTTCGCCCATGGACACCTGAAACACTAAAAGAGTTACAGTGCTTTACCGGCCTTTTGGGGATTAGGAATTCGAGGATTGTTGGAGATTCAGGGATTGGGGAGATTGAGAAAGGGGGAAGGGTGCATTTGGACCTCAACCTCACTCACACGACGAAACACAACGTAAGCGTTGATTCACATCGATTTTCTGCTCGTTGGTGGTATCACTCCGGTCGAGCCGGCCCAGCAGTGCCGAAGCATGGATACACAAAACCTCACGCTACATTATCAGTTAACACACTATATAGATGGTTTGTTTTTTTTTTTCAGAAATCGTTCATAGCGGCGTATAGCGACGTCTCGGGCGAGTACAAGCGACTGCGCAGCGTGCGCGCGCAGGCCGGGGACTCCACCTGGGACATCGTCAGGAACAGGGAGCTTCAGACGCTCAAGGAGAAGGTAACTAATATTCTTACAAAATAACACCATTAGCCTCTTGTCGGTTGAAACATCGGCTCCCGGTATAAACACATTATGGCCGCAACTGTCAACAGACAAGAGGATTAGTAGGTAACGGAAAATGTTATCAATAGTCCTAAGGTATTACTTTGATCTCCAGCACGCAGGCGCAAAGCTGTTCACTGATGATGACGCACCCACAACAGAACACATAGAGATGTTACTCTGGGCGTACTCTCCGGAACCTAAGCGAGTCGCGAAAGAATTACATTTCTTCGATATCAAGGAGAAGGGAGAGAAAGAGAGCGAGGGTGACAAAGGAGACAAGAGTGTCAATAGTGACAAAAGAGACAAAAAAGATAGAAAGAGACAGATTAGCAACGACAGGAATAAAGAGAGTGGTAGAATGCTACGACGCAGCAAGAGGATTAAAAAGTAGGTAATAGTGATTGTTTGGTGATTTTAAAGTTATTGTTAATGCATTTTTTATTTAATAAATGTTTAATTTTTAATCGTTGTTTTATTTTTATTGAAATACGTAGCACCTAACACGGTACTAATTAATAATTCGTATTAATATATGCTGCCGAGAACCTCAAACGGCGAAAGTATGATAGCCTGATTGGCAATTATGCTTTCGAACCGTTTGGGGTTGAAACTTTAGGGCCGTGGGGCCCAAGTGCACATCTTCTTTACAAAGATATTGTAAAGAGGATGGTTGACACTTCAGGTGATCGAAGGGCTGGCTTCTACCTTGACAAAGGTTAAGCATTGCCATTCAACGTGGTAATGCTGCCAGTCTTTTGGGCACCCTACCTCACGATAATGATGAGGAAAATTTTTTTTTTTGATGCCTTATTATAGCTTATTTATTTATTATTACCTTTTTTTTAAGGTGTAAATATTTTAGTTCATAGTTATTTATATTTTAATTCGGATTGTATCATAAGAGTTTATTGAAAGTTCCATTCTACATTTCAATCATTAAACATGATGCGTAGAACGAAACGTTGGTACCGTGATCGATTTGACACTTTGACATAATATTGTAAACAGTGAGTACAATGAACTCGTTCAATTCCAACACAAACATTAATAATATGTGGTTATTGTGAATTAAAGTAATGTCACAAGTCATGTCCGCGGTCATCTGTGGCATTCGAGACCATTTGCGTAGTGTCTCCAGTCAGGTACGGGCGCGGGCGTGACGGGGCGTGCGACGCCGCTATAACTCTATTTTCGGAGTGAAATTAAAGCAAAACGCATTGAAACTGTAATACAAGTTCATTTGTTTGTGATGTGTAGTGTCTGTGTACAGTGTGTCGTGGATAGGAGTGCAGTGTAACTCGGAATGATGCTGTATTAAGTTCATAACGTAAGTACTGCACTATGCTATGAGATATATTCGCCAAAGAATTGCGTTTTGTGACTGAAATGTATATATATGTTGTGTTGTTTCACTTGTACTGGTGTGAACAATGGCCCTTTCAGTAGTTTGCCTGTGTTCTCATGTAGATACCAAGCTAAAATGTATATACATGTATATGACTCACTTCCTATGAAGTTGACACTGCAGTTGATTGTTCTGTTTACCTGCACATGTAAGAAAGCAACACACTTTATTTTTTACTCTTCGCGAGGGCAGGCAGAAGTACACATGCTTTTATATGTGATAAGCCTGTAAACGAGCAGACGGATCACCTGATGGTAAGCAATGTCCCATGGACACCAGATGCGTTACAAGTGTGTTACCTACCAGCCTTTTAGGAATTAAGAATTTGAGGATTGTGGGGGATTGGAGATACTGGGGAGGGGTGTAATTGAGCCTCCTTAACCTCACTCACATGACGAAACATAATGGTAACATAAAATAATAAGTGTTGGTTCACTATGGTTTTCTACTCGGCCATGGTATCACTCCATTCAAGCTCACCCATTTATGCTGAACTATCGCTTTACCACATTTAAACTGTCAAACACCGCGAGGACACCGGTGACCGCAACCTATTGTTCTATAATTGTGTCTATAATGAGGGTACTTGACGAGTTAATTAGGAATGTTACACATAACATTACTTACTTCCTACCAGTTACAAGTCCCATATTGTATCTGTTTCTCCAAATTGTAATTCTGTACTTGTTGTGTACAGTCTCATTGAAATTGCCAACCCGCATTGAGCAAGCGTGTTGATTAACACTCAAACCTCCTCCGTGTGAGGAGATGCCATTCGTCAGCAGTGGCCACATAGGCTGATGATGATACATTTTCATTGATAATATTAGTTGTGTTATACAAACCTAACTAGAATAATTTGTAAAAGTAATGAGATACGTGTTTATCATAATATTACGGTTGAATCACCGGTATTACATACAATTACAGTGTGTTCCTCTGTCCACAGAGTGGTGTGTGTGTGTGTGATGGAGACGGCGAGTGCGCGGCGGCGCAGCATGGAGGCGGGCAGCGACGCGAGCTACTGTATGTATCCTATGACTGCTTATTAATTACTATAATTTGCATTATACTTACGTACCTAATAATAAAAAATGCTCTTACAACTATTTTGAATACCGCTTGGGTTCCATGCAGCCGGTGCAGCAATGTATCTTGACTGTTGAATAGCATTCATAAACTTCACCACCACCTGTACCAAGTACAGGAACTGTTGTATGACGACCTGAAGGATCTGATATCTCACAGTCAAATCATGTAGATATTCCAATTAGACCAGCAACTCCAACAAAGCACTTTTAAGAGTCCAACAAATTCACTTCCTTCTAGTTCCTTCAGTCCACTTCTCGCGCCTTGGGTTAGGCGAGAGGGACAGACTCTTACTGACTAAAAACACCCCGTTTTCACTCCTGGGTGCTTACTCTTGAAACCAATCTCAATGTCAATGCAATTTCAGTCCAATAAAATCTCAATAGTTATTCAATGTCAACACTATACAACCACAATCGTAGCTGTTACAATAGCATTCAGAGTACGGAATATAAAGACAAACTCAATACCATTTAGTTCATTCAATATCCACGCAATACGGATGCAATGGGCGCTAGTGTTGCAACTCAAGTCAAGAGTACGAAATTTCAGAATACCAATGTCGATCGATCGAAATTGGATTCAAGAGTAAGCCCCCTGCTCTTCGAGGCAGAGCCCCGGCAACCCGTTAGACCTTCCGCGGGTCCGTATCGGGCATGAGCCCTACTGGGCCCCATTTGCTCTGTATAGTATAGTATAGTAGTCTATATTGTCCTTGGTATTATTCTGTTCATGAATACAATGTTTAACCAAGTGCCCTCTGTTGCAGGCGAGAGGGAAACCTGGGAGGACTGGGGCAGTCGCTCCTCGCTCAGCCAAGTGGACGAGGTAGGTCATCTACATCCATAGCATAGCACATGTTGTAAGCAGCTGTCAGGTCAACCTAGTCTAATTTATCAAATATTGTCATTGGAATTTCGACTTTATACCAAAGTGTAAAGTTGTAAATCTAATAATGGATTAGGAAACAGGTTGACTGGCTGGCACTGTTATAATCAGACTAGAGTATTCGTAGTGTGTGTACTATGTATTACCAACAAGTGATGTGTTTTGTAAAGTGTGTGAAAATGTTGTGTTGAATATGATGTGATTTGGTGACGACGAAATACTTGTGTCTTGTAGTGTTTGGTGTGTGATGCGTCAATAATACAAGTAGGTTCAGTTAACATAAATCGAAAGCAATGAAGGAATATCAGAAGGTTTGTAGTATACCTACCGCATTCTAACTCTAAACTTAACAAAAGAAAGAATATAGTAGATAAGAATATGAGCCTCTAGCATGGCTCGAAACTAGGCGAGGTCCTCGTCAAATAATTACGTGAGTAAGCTGAAAATCATAATATACAAAAGCAAGGATTCAAAATAAACAAAGGAAAAACATAGAGCTTACAAAATACCTCATAAGAAAGAGGTCTGTAACACAAGACCCCAACCTAATCCCTCTGACCATACCACGCTACCGCCCTAACGACAAATTATATCATTACGAGTTACGAGATTAGGTATGCAAAAACCAGAGGGCCTAGTGCGAATTTTTTACACGACAATAACGACGTGTTGACGCAACCGACACGTTTTTGACGTTCGTCGCTCTGATTGGCCAGCTTCAAGCTAACCAATTAATTAGAGGGCTAAACGCACGCGGTACCTAAAGTAACAAAAACTCGCAGCAGACCCTCCGTTGAACGCATCCCCAAGCCCGACACATTATCTGCTGTGATTGATGAGACGTGAGCGCACTGATTGAGATATTGTAAATATAAACATATGTACGTATTTACATAGTTCATCGATATACAGCGATTATTTACTTACTGCCCGAAGCGCGAAGTTTCAGTGTCAGGATGTCGGAAACTGGAGTGAGAATTGTGTAACATTTTTACTTGTATTTATCTTGTCCTGTTTATGAACTCCGGTTACCACAGCCGTCTCGATTCTCTAAATGTGAACTATATTTTTTATGGAATAAGCCGGTAAAAGAGCAAACGATGATTCGTTTGCGATTATAGTATTCTCAATAAATTATTATTAAACAAATGCTATTACTCAATTGAAGAATTCCTTAATGATAATATTTTTTGACAAATTTAATTTATTTCTTGACAATTTCAATTTTTTCTTGACAATTTTAATGTATTTCCTGATAAATTTGATAATTTTAATTGACATAATTTTGACATACCTTATTTTTATTATTTTATTATTATTGTACAAATTTAACTGAAATTGTAATATTTTAATAATGTTCAAATGCATGTACCTAATATATTTGTATGTCTATCACGGCAAAACATAGTGGACTATATTTATATGTAAGACCTTATTATGTAAACTACCTATGTTTAACAAATAAATTATTCTGATTCTGATTCTGATTCTGATAGGCGACGCCGATCAGGATCACCTGATGGTAAGCAATCGGCGTCGCCTATGGACATACGGAACACCAGAAGCATTACAAGTGCATTACCGGCCTCTTGGGAATTGAGAATTTGAGGACAGTGGGGGATTCGGGGATTGGTGAGACTGGGGAGGGGGGTAATTGGGCCTCCTCACTGACTAATCAACCTCAATGAATATGTTCAGTGTCATATTCGACCTTCAGTATCCAGTCTTTTAGTTAGTATTACCTTCCTGCTGCTGCTCGTCCCAAGTAGCTCTTGCATCACCTCTTTTAGTAGTTCATTGGTTTTCTGCAAAAATATATTTAGCTGTGTTAGGAGTTAACTTAGAATTCGAATAAAAATCTTGTCTTATCTTGTCTCCTTGAAGAATCCTGCGTATATCCTCGGCTGTGTCGTATCATAACGCTATTTAAGTGTTACGGTCACTTCCGCATGGCGGCGCGTGTCGAGAGGCACGCATTAATTACAACACACAGACAGTGCCGGATTGAGTAGTAAACTTACGGGCCCCGCGTATTTAAGGGCCCCG